TTTTTTTTTTTTTTTTTTTTTAATCTGTAGGCTATATAACACTTTAAGCTCTTTACTGTTGCTATCTAATTTGTAAAGTACAAGCTATATTTATTTGTGAGGTCCATTTATTGCCTTTTTAGAAATGAGTTTCATTTGGGTGTAACAAATAATTTGAGTCTTTTTTAAGGTTCATTAAATTTTTATTACAAAAATTGTCAACTATACACAAAGTAGAGAAAATAGTATCATGAAACCCCAGTATTCTGTCGCCTATAACCAACAGTTGAGATTTTGCCATGCTTTCTACGTCTATTCTTTCCCTCCCTCCACTTTTTTGGCAGGAACATTTTAGAGCAAAGATTATTTTATTTCACCCCTAATTACTGCATTTGTAAAAAAAATGACATTTTCTTATATGACCACTCATAGCATAATTAGCAATATTTTCTTTGTATTAATATCTTTTTACAGTTAAAAACAACTGTTTTGACTGATATTCTAGCTCTGTGCTGTCAGTTATGATAGCCACATGTAGCTATTTAAATTTACATTTATCACTGTTTCAAGTGCTCAGTAGCCGCATACAACTAACTACCACGTTGGACAGTGCAGATGAAGAATATTTCCATTATGATGAAAGTTCTGTTGCACAGCATTGCTGTAGATGCTTTCTACATCATTCTAGAGATGAACGTGAAAGAGATAAATATTTGTGTTTTAAGAAATTGTACAAGGTTGTTTATTTAATGTTTGATTCTTTCTTTCAGATGCCTAGAAAAAGTAACAACTGATAAAGGTAAGACTTGGTCATTCTTACCTCTCTTGTGTACATTACACTAATTATTTTATAATCTGATAGAAAGTAGAATAAGCTTCAGTCTGATCATTTAAATTTGTTCCCTATTAAAAGTGACTTTTATTCAGTAAAAAGTGACTGGAGTTAGGGCCGGCCCATGGCTCACTTGGGAGAGTGTGGTGCTGATAACACCAAAGCCACAGGTTTGGATCCCTGTATAGGGATGGCCAGTTAGCTCACTCGGGAGAGCGTGGTGCTAACAACACCAAGTCAGGGGTTAAGATCCCCTTACCAGTCATCTTCTAAAAAAAAAAAAAAAAAGTGACTGGAGTTGATAGAACCTAGTTAGATGACAGTGGGTTTAGACAATAGAATATATTGGCATTATTTGGAAACCTAACAATGAGGAATTAGATTATTTGTTGACAATTTATTGTAATTTTTTGAGCTATTTGGTTTTTTTAATGTAATGAAGAGAGTGATACATGATATACAGAGTAAAGTGTAGGCAAAACCTTGAGGCTTGTGGAGACCAGCAGTCTCATAATTGCATCTTGAAGAGTGCAGAAAGAAAAGTGTTCTAATATTTCAGCCTGGTGAATAATTAAAGGAGGTCATAAAGTCATTTCACTTTAAATTAGAGTTTTATCAAAGCAAATATATGTATCGAAGTTTTCTACTTTATCTGGATTATGAAGGGAAGCTAATGTTCATTTTGGGTTTTTTTAAACACTTTTTAAGACTGTTATGGCTTTGCAGGTTGAGTTATTCAAGTTGCCTCTGTCAAGTTGGACCACTTGCTCATTCATTACATTTTTCTTTTTTCCTATCTGTTGGCTGTGTATCTTGATGCTAAATTCAAACACATATCCTCCTTCTTAAAACTGGAACAAATATATTTTTAAGCATATTTCATTTGTCGTGTGTGATCTTGACCCAGTCCCGACACAGCCAGTTTCCAAATGTTGGAATCCTCTTAATAGCTGAGAGGTGACCAGTTAATTTTTAAGGTCCAGCTACTATTTCTAAAATTAAAAAATACTCTTATATGTACAGTCAGCTACTCCTCCATGTCCATGGGTTCCACATCCCTGCATTCGACCAAGTGCAGATCAAAAATATTAAAAAAAAAAAAAATTGCATCTGTACTGAACATGAACTGAACTTTTTTCTTGTCATTATTCCCTAAACAATGCAGTATAACAACTATTTACATAGTATTTACATTGTATTAGGAATTAAAAGTAATCTAGGGATAAATTAAAGTGTATGGGAGGATGTGCATAGATTATATTCAAATAGTACAACATTTTATATAAGGGACTTGAGCATCTGTAGATTTTGGTATCTACAGGAGGTCCTGGAATCAATCCCCCATGAATACCAAGGGATGACTGTATATGTATACATATATATGTGTGTGTCTATACTGAGTGTGCATTTTATATATTTATATACATATAGATGTGTGTGTTTTCGTTTTGTTTTTTTGTGGCTGGCTGGTGTGACCTTGGTGTTACCAGCACCATGGTATAAAATGTATTTTTGGGGGCCAGCCTGGTGGCGCACTGCTACAGTGCGCCGCTTGGGAGCGCGGCGGTGCTCCCGCCGAGGGTTCGGATCCCACATACAGACCGGCCGCTCACTGGCTGAGCGAGGTGCGGGCGCAACACCAAGGGTTGCGATCCATTGCCGGTCACGAAAAAAGACAAAAAGGAAAAAAAATGTATTTTTTAATGAAGGTTTTTCTGTTCCTAGAGAATGCTTTGAGAATGTATCAGGGAAGTTTAAAAGTTGTATTTTATGCCATTAGAAGAATGAGTGTGATTAGGAATCAATTACTTAAATTGGTGGCTGCTTTGTAAATATTTAGGTGTCAATGCTGTTTCTTCTCTGAGTTTCGGAATCTGAGACTACTATTTTATAGTATACCAGGCAGAGTGTTTTATACCAGACAAGTTTTTATGTAGAAAGTTTTTTTGTTGCTGCTGTTGTTACTTGGAAAATAGGTTTTGTCTGCTGAGAATGGACGGTCTTGTATTTCTTATTCAGAGATCATTTTGGAGATTTTATGGTATGGGGAAAATGTAGAAATACGTGACAGTCAAATAACAGAGCAGTTCTGATTAAAACAAAAAACAACGTGCCTTTATCAGAGCTAGATTATCTTATGTGTTTAAAGAGTATGTCTACAGAAATTACTCTGTGTTGCCTTTAGGAGAACTTGGAGATTGTGCTGGGAATTTTAAACCCCTGTTGGAGGTAAATTAAAAGATCTTTGTGTAGATATCTTAAACCAGAAGTTGGCATGTTGTATAGTTGTGCAGCTGTGGAGGGATTACTGCGTTCTGGGTAATTCAATCTCAAAATCAGTTCCACTTTAATCCACTAGTTAAATGCTCTGGATCTGGATATTCTCAAACTCCTGTTTCTATCTTTTCATTATTTTATCTATTTAGAGTAGCTATTCAGCTCTGTGGACAGTATGTAGGTACATAAGAACTTTATCTAACATACATTCATACAGTGAGATCAGTAAGTAAAGAAGTGGAGGCTCTAGTAGTCATTTTTTTCTGTACTGTTTAATACTTAGAATTCATCTCAATTCTTTCACTATTTCTTGTCACTTCTCAAAAAGTTATTCTTTTACTTTGGAGTATAATGTTCATGTTCAATCTGCTGAATTTTAACTGAAGTAACTCATACTCATTTCAAGGGTTGAGACTTTTTCAAAACTTTGAACAGGTTTTGTTATTTTTCTAGAAGTATGACTAGCTCTTTGTTTTATCAATATTGAAAAGATGTTTTCAGTATTGTTTTTAACTGTTATATACTCCAGATGACTAGAAATTGTATGCTTTTCTTGAGTTGAAGATAAGAACTGTTGATGTGTTTCAACAGGTAAACAATATTGCACATAGAAAGTATAGAAATAACTTTCCATTATTTTTAAATTATTCAGCTGCAAAGTGCTACATTCATTTTTCAAACAAAATAGTAGTAAAGAAACATTAGTATTAGTTCCTGTTCCTGTTTCTCCAGGGTATTTATTTTACCCTGATGGGTATATATAAAGAAATGGGAAACTACTTTGGTAAAATAGTATTTATTCATTCATTCAACAAGTAATGTTGAGCATCCACCATGTGTCTGGCACTATTCTAGGCACTGGGTTGGTACTGGTAAATAAGTGAACTGAATAAACTACAAAAGTGAAATATAATGTTTGATGAAGTTGGAGATGGGGGGACTAAATTTAGATAAGATGGTAAGAGAAGACCTCTTTGAGGAGGCAACATTTGAGCTTAGGTCTAAATATGCAAATAGATCTCTGGATGAGAGGGATATTGGCACACAGAAGAAGCAAAAGGGGAAAAGCTTAAAGCTTCAAAGTTTAGTTTACCACCTCAGAAGATTATCTTCATCATTGTGGAGCTTCTAAGAGTTTTAGCTGAAACCTTAAGGATGGAGGCTTAGTTCCTTTTTAACTTGACTTTGTTTTCATCCTGTTTCTCTGTTTTGAATAAATATTATATTCATGTAAAGTAAAAGGATGGTCCACCTAAATGTAATTTATTAGTAATCCCATAAATGTAATTTATTAGTAATCCCAGTGTTACTTTTAATTTTTCTTACTTTCTAACCTCCAACTAGACATTATGAAACCTGATTGTTGTTCTCTCCCATCTGTTGGATCCTTACTGATGGATAATAATTAAAACTTTGTAAAGATAAAACATTATTTAATAAGGAGACTATAATACCTTAATGATAACTAAAGTGTGTTTCGTGGAATGATAATAAATACTACAGAGTCAAGTAAATGTGGGCAGCACTTGAGTCATCAATGTTAGGTTATTTATTGCAGAATGTCTCAGAAACTTGGATTTTGAGTAATGTGCAAATATAAATACCAAAATATGCAGCAATTACCTAACTTAGTTGACTGTCTCATAAAACTAGAGTTTATGGAAAACATACTTTGGAATATTGGATGCTTGGAAATTTGACTATTAAACTTTGGGTTACACCTTTTATTCAGCATCATTTTATTGTTTTCAGTTACTTTTCTTGTTACAGAATAGTGATGTTTGGCAAAGATTACTTAAGAGTTATCAAATGAGTTTATACCAGATCTGGGAATTTACTTACATTGTTTAGAGCTTAACTGTTAACTATTTGTCTTGTGTAGTTTATTATAATCATAATGTCTGGAATGATTATTTAAAGTATTAGCTTGTTCTGATTTTTTTCCTCCACCCTGGATCACATCTTCAGTTTTTGTTCTATGTTGATTTAATCTAATTTGTCGATTATTGTCTCTGTGCTCCATTTTTTAAAAATTAGAATTTATTAACAATTTTCATGGTTTTAATTTCAGCAGTATTTCATTTTTCCTGTGTTGGAATACCTTTGATTACTTCTTATACCCACACATCAGACCCTTGTATCACATTCATCTTGGCCTTTTGTCAACTTGCAACCTCAACATAACATTGACAGTTTCTACCTTCCTTTACAGATACACCTCATTTCCAGTATCTTTAAACACTATTTGTATTATTCCTAAATATATAGAACAGGCATTTCTATCTTTTCTCTCTCTAGGGAGAAAATCTAAATTTTACAATTTTTACCATTTGAACTTCTGTACAAAGAAAGATGTGAGAAGATACCCAGGACACATTGTCTTCACAATTCTTTCTTGAATCTCCTTGCTAATGACCTAGGTTTAACTAGGTTTTCCTAGTTAAAATAAAGTCCTGTAGGCCGGCCCATGGCTCATTCGGGAGAGTGTGGTGCTGATAACACTAAGGCCATGGGTTCAGATCCCATATAGGGATGGCCAGTTAGTTCACTGGGTGAGCATGGTGCTGACAACACCAAGTCAATGGTTAAGATCCCTTTACCGGTCATCTTTAAAAAAATAAAAATAAAAAAAATAAAGTCCTGTAGGTTCTGAAAAGAAAAGAGCTCTGGAAGGAAAATTTCTGGGTGAG